AGGAGTTTTCTGTCTAAAGAGTCAGAGCCTCGGTGTGGGTGTCGGTTTGGGCATACCATCGTGTCAACTGTCACAGAAGGGACTCGGCAGGCGGCACGCGGTTTCTTCGCAGATCCAACAACTTCTACCTGGCGATGCTCCTGTTCATGCTGTTTCTGTGCATGCTGCCCACCGTCTTTGCTATTGCTCGGTACAAGCCGTCTCTGAACTGCGGGCCCTTCAGGTAAGTTACTTCGGGTCTGTCTCCTCTGCCCTGAGCGACTGAGCTCTAGGGGAAGGGCCCCTGCCTTGAAGGGAATTCTCTTCGCGGCCGACGGAACAGGTCAACAGCAGAGAAGGGTCTCGAACCCACAGCCTGGGAGTCCAGGACCGGTGAGCGCCCTTTCCCTGACGGCAGGCTGGGAGAGCATCTCCGTGCTCTTCTGGAAAAGATAGCGCCTATCAAAACGGTACAGCCTGCTGTGCGACAGAGGAGGTCACCTGGGTGCTTGTCCCTTCCAGAGCTCAGGAAGCCGTTATCAAACGCTAACCCACGTCCCTTTTCATTCTACGTTACTTCTCTAACTGCATCAGGGTAGCAGGGCCCAGAGCTGTCTGCCTAGCTTTCCCTTCAGGTCGGGTTCAAAACTATCGGGGACATTTACCGTCCTTAAAACGCACATGCACACACGGTGATCGCTGACTCCACCTTCGAATCTCCCATCAGTCGGACAAGTCATACAAAAGCTTAGGAATGTTGCATGTCTTACACTTTGGGGTATCTACCCTCCCTTGGCACCTGACCCCGAGGACGGGGCTCCAGCCATACGGCTGTTGCTTGACGGTCCGTAGAGTCCTCCTGCCAAAAGCAATGCCATCTGGGGTTCTGTCTTCCTCGCAGCGGACAAGAGAAGATGTACGACGTCGTGTCGGAGACCATCGAGGAGGACTTCCCCGCGTGGTTCGGCTCCGTGGTGGGGTACGTCAGCAGCCCCGTGGTCATCCTGCCGGCCACACTGCTGCTGTTGTGAGTACCACACGCGACGCACACACCCCGCTCCCCGCCAGGCTCGGGGGACTTCTGCACCTGCCAGGCTTGGGGGACTTCTGCAGCCCTGGCCACCGAGAGAGCGCTGCTCTCCAATAACCCAATAAAAGCCACGAGTTCATTGCAAAGTCCCGCGTAGAGCCTGATGACCCAGGCGGGAGCCGTGGAGGGAGGGACGGCGGGCTTCGTTCCGCCGAGGCCGCTGCGATGGGGCCGAATGCCGCTATCGTCGTCTTGTCGGACAGACGCTGAAATCATCCCGCACCAGCCTGGCCGCGAGCGCGCCCCGGGCGGCCGGCAGCAGGAGGCGAGGGGGGCTCACGCGTGGCCTGTGTTCTTCCGTCCCAGCATGGTCATCTATTACCTTCAGAGCATCGCAAGATCCTTAAAGCTCAGCAACCAGCAGCTCAGAATGCAAATCCAAAACGTAAGCACGGCCTCGTCTCTGCCGTCGTGACTGCGCGTCCGCCGCGGGGCAGCTCTCGCCCGCAAGGGAATACCGGTGAGGTCACCTTTCCGGATTCCGAGGACTCTTGGCCACCTCCGGGGCACAAGGCCACGCCTCCCCCAGGCTCCAGCAGAGTTCTTTCTAAGAAATCCCAGGGACAGCTCCCATTGGCCCAGGAACTAGCTGACTCCCGCCCACCGCGGCCTTGCTGATGCCCTGAGCGCATCAGCGCCCTCTTGTGGCTGCCCCAGGGACTCAGGGTGCAGGGCTCTTCTGTGGGCCGCGACCCACTCACAGGAAGGAAAAAGGGCCCCTTTCCCGTTCTGTGTCAACTTGCACATCTGAGCCCACGCACTCTGTTTGGACCCAAAGACGCACCTTTTTCATGACTTTCAGGCTCCGGTGTCGTCACCCCCTCTCCCATCTGGGACTTAGCTCTCAGGACGGTCAGAAGGAGACTAACAGGGCCAGCGTGGGCACGGTGTCCCCTCTCTGCACACCGCCCCGGCCAGGACGGGGTGAGGCAAGGGAGGCACGGGCTCTCGGGCTCCCGCTGACCCTGCCCCACGCAGCCGAGAGTGGGCGGTGCCTCCCTACAATGCCACTCCTGGCTGCCTCCTCGCCCCACCCCAGTCCCAGAGCCCCACGCAAAAAACATCCGCCTTTTTCAACTTTGAAAACCGTTAACTCCTGTGAGTATCGGCTCGGGCAAAGAAACAGTTCCGTGAACCATCATAAGAAACGGACGTGGAGCTACAGAAGGCGTTTTGGGGAAACATACACGTCCCATGTTGATCTGTATTTCCTCATCTGTGTCTCAGGTTGACCATATTGGCAGAATCGACACCCGGTCTGTCGAACAGCTGGCCCTAAAAATAAAACCTGCTGGGTAAAACTTCAGCTCTGGGGTGTCGGCGTTTATTCATTTAAGCAAGGCCCGAGTCCCCGAGTACGCTGTCCCCAAGTGATAGCAGTCATAGGCTCTTGGCCCAAGGCGTGAGCAGTCACACGTGAATTCCCCCCCCCCCCCCAGAATAGTGTTCATTACTTCTTCCTGCTAAAACCAAAGCAAACATGCTTATTATTTGTATTTTAGGCCAGATCTGAAGACAAGAAAAAGGTTGCCCAAATGGTAGAGGGTAAGTAGAAACAAAAATGCCTCATGCCTCAGTTGGGGCGGCGGTGGGGGGGGGCATTTAAAAATACAGCAGTTCCGGGGCACCTGGGTGGCTGAGTCAGTTGAGCGTCCCACTTTGGCTCAGGTCGTGATCTCACGGTTTGTGGGTTCAAGCCCCGCGCTGGGCTCTGTGCTAACCGCTTGGAGCCTGGAGCCTGCTTCCGATTCTGTGTCTCCCTCTCTCTCTGCCCCTCCCCTGCTCGCACTCTGCCTCCTGCTGTCTCAAAAATAAACATTAAAAACAATGTTTTCAATACAGCCGTTTAAGGTGTGCTACCAATACAAATGCCTGATAAACTGTGGTTTTCACAATGAACTAGGCACAATAAAATAGGGCTATAAATATTGGTTTAAACTTATAATTTTTCCGTCATACCCAGGCCTGTGAATAGCACCGAAACATGTCTGAAATCAGAAGGAGAGTTTGAGTCGGGAGAGAAAAAGCAGCAGAGAAATCTGGAGCAAACCCATACGGACGCCCTTGTCTTGTTAACTTTTCTGTACCTCTCGATGGCCATTTCCTCCTTGCGAGACCCCCCCTCCCCCCGTCGGTGCCCCAGGTGCAGCCTTCTGAGGGCACCCCTCGTCCCACTCCCGGAGGGCAATGCCAGCTGGGCCTGGCCTTCTCTCCCCAAATTCTCCAGGGGCCCCGACAAACTTGTTCCCGCCCAGGCTCCCCCTCCTGCAGAGAGCTGGTGTGGCCGGAAGGAAGGAGGTGGGCCCCCGGGGCCCCCCCCGTCTGCCCCCGGGGCCACGAAGAGACCACGGAGGGATCACCCCGCAGTGCTGAAAGGGCACAGGCCACGTTCTCCTGCAGAAAATGAATGAGATTGAAGCCCTAAAAGGCTCCACGGGCCGGCTCTGTGTCTGCAGAGCTAATTAGATCCGTCCCCCTCGTGAGGGTGTGAGGGGTTGGGGGGGGCGCTGAGGAAGAGCCAGGAGGCCCAAGGGTTAGCCTTGCCCCTCCCCCTTTTCAGAAAGCACCCTATGTATGAAAATCCGCTACAGAAAAAGACTGAAGCTCCCACGATCAAACCCCACTGAAAGTCAAGGACTACTTGCCAACGGGACATAATTTAGTTCGGGTGGTCCTTAAAACCGAGGGCCTCGGGAGCTCTCTCGGGAGGGCAGTGGCTTTGTCCGATGGCCCTCTTTCAGCTCCAGGCTACGTCTTCTTCCAGAATGCTCTGTGAACTGCTTCCAAAAGCTCATAATTGTTGTATAAGCTTTATGATATGCATTGTGTAGGTAAACGACCAGAGCCCCAAAGCTGGGCAACGACCCGCTTTGCCTCTGGGGGCCTCACATGATGCATCTATAAAGCCTCGGGGTTCATGGGAGTCCACACTCCTTCCAGCTCCCCGTGAGGATATGATCGGGGTTACGGAACGTTGGCTGCCCGCGGGATAGGTGTGTCCCCAGGCACACAATGGTTTGCACACCCAGCAGCTGGACGTCCTGACGTTCCTGCAGCTAAACCAGCCCAGACGGGTCACCCCTGCCTTCTCACGTCCCACCCTCTTCCCGCAGCCCGAATCCAAACCCAAGACGAAAGCAGCAAGAGGCTTCCCAAGGACGGCGACCTCGGCAGCCAGCTGTCCTCAGCTCACTCGGGGACACCCCAGAGCAACGGCGCCGTGGTCAATTGGGACTCATGCAGCAGTGAGAGTGGCAGGGTAGAGGCCGCTGCCCAGCACCCACCCCCGAGTCCCCAGCCAGGCCCCCGCAGCCCCAGCTCGCCTCTTTCCGGCACGTCCAAACCCAGGCCGGGGCAGGACACGAACAGGTGAGCTTATCTGCAGACCAGCTGGAAACCTGCCTCCCTGACCGTGACACCTGCTGGTGATGGCCAGGGCCGTGAAGTGCAGGTTGAAGAACCCTTAGGGATCTGAGGGCCTCAGCAGTTTCAGGAGGCCAGGCCGTCGAATTCCAGCTCTGCCAGCCGGCCACGGGGCCAGCTGGTACTGAGAAGAAATGGGGGTGACAGAGTGGGTCAAACAGGACACATTCTTCCCCCTCCGCCTTTTGCCGGATCACCTGTAAGCAAACATTCCTGCCAACCTAGGGTAGGTGTTTCTACAGCCTCAGGGGAAGAAAATGCCTTTTTTTTTTTTTTAATTTTTTTTTTTTCAACGTTTTATTTATTTTTGGGACAGAGAGAGACAGAGCATGAACGGGGGAGGGGCAGAGAGAGAGGGAGACACAGAATGTGAAACAGGCTCCAGGCTCTGAGCCATCAGCCCAGAGCCTGATGCGGGGCTCGAACTCACGGACCGCGAGATCGTGACCTGGCTGAAGTCGGACGCTTAACCGACTGCGCCACCCAGGCGCCCCGAAAATGCCTTTTATAATTGTTGGTTCTTTTATTTTTTTAACTCCACACTGGCCATATTATTGGCAAGATCTTTTATATTTCAGTTCTGGGCTGGCCAAGTTATTGGCAAGGTCGTTCTGTATTACCTGGGGTCCATTGTCGTTGTTTGAGCCTTCCTCCCACACAAGACAGCAGCGGATGCACTCTGGGAGTGCGCACTGACCCCAACTCACGGAGGATGTGGTTGGAATTGATCGCGACAACCGTGAAAGCAATTCAGATAAAATGCTGGGGGGAGGGGGTGGGGTTTGTCGGGGGTTGGGCTTTTTTTTCTTAAAGACAGTGACCAAGTTCTCGGAGGACTTGAAATCTTGCGATAAGAGAGTGTATCTACGGGGCCTTGACGGGGAGGAGGGATCCCGTACCATCGGGTGGGCAGGAAGTGCCTGAGCGGCCGGACAGCCCACGGCAGGGATGGCACGGAGGAGCGTTCCCGACACGCGCTGGCCTAATATTAGCCCCACTGTGTGCTCCTGGACAAAACGGGGGCTCAGGGTGAGATATGTTAGCAAAGCGCCCTCTGCCCTACTCCCTCCATGGAGATGCACCGCGCACATCATTCCGGTAGGTGTTCTAGAATTGCAGGAGCAAAGGCTTCTGTTTCTCCCGGGTCCCCAAACCATCCTGTGCGTGCATCCGCAGGGCACATGTTAACACTCTGGAACGTGGTCAGGGAAAGGCCGAGAACACGGCCTCCCTGGCTGGTGGCGCTCGGGAGGCAGGGGCTCGGACCAGGCGCTTACCCACCTCTGTCTTACAGGCGCCCGCGTGGTCCTTGTGTGAGCACAGGTGACCGGCACAGGAGCAGACCCCGCTCACCTGTGATGCTGACAAAGCCCATCGAAGACGCTCACTCAGAACCTCTTTTCCGAAAAGGCTTTCAGCACATCAGCCCTCCCCTTGGCGGACCGGGCCCCTCGGCCTGGGCACCTCGTGGTCGCAGGCCCCAGGCCCCCAGCTACTACATCATTAATGAGCGAGACTCTCACAAAAATTCCCATCCAACTTTCTGGCCAGAGAGACATTTCCGGATGGATGCCCTGGGGGACCTGGTGGAAGTGTATCCCAGGAGCACGCGACAAGCTGTGTCCCGGGGCCCCCGGCAGGGTGGCTCCCCGCAGCTGAGTGAGGAAGACGAGGATGCCCCACGGAGGCAGCTGATGGAAGGTTCTTTCCACCCACACGCCCCGGCGGGCCTCCGAGGGCCTCCTCACTTCTATGTTGGCGAAAGGTCAGAGAGGCAGACCCCGGCCCCCAAGCGCCAGGGAAGGGTGCCCCACGGGTCCTGGAGTGACGGCTTGGAGACTCAACTCGACAGGCCGGTGTACGTGTACAAGAAACCACGCTCCCGGGGCTCCCAG